ACATTAAATCAGCCTTAAATTACTAGATTTCAGCTCAAATTTCAGTATTTATGTAAGAGCCAGTTATAATGAATTAAGTTAAACCCTATAAGAGACTGATACCTAGGATCAGTCAACAACACATAAAGGCCTTGCTGATGGGAATGTAAACTTGCAACAACTCTTTAGGAGAGAAACGTGGCTATGAATATCAAAGGTTTATAAATGTGCCAATTTTTTGACTCAATAATTCCACTTCTAGGAATTTATCTTAAGGAAACAATTAAGTGTATATAAAAAAATTTGTTACCTGGTATGATCATCAAAAGAAATCATTAAAGGGTACTAGACTACATTCACTTAATGCAAAAGAAGGTAGTAAAGAGGAAAAGAACAAAAAAGACTTGAGACACAGAAAAAACAAATTCAAAATGGCAGACATAAATCTAACCATATCAGTAATAACATTAAATGTGAATGGACTGTGTAATAGTATCTTAAATGAAAGAAAGATGACTCCATGGCCCCCCTGTTTGATTTGGCTGCCCACTACACAACCTCAAAACGTAACTCAAAAAATAAACTTACTGTCCTGATGGTGAGTAAGCTTTTCTGTTTCACTTTGACCTTAACTCATCCAAAAAGCCTCCTTCTCAAATGGCTTGTCTACAGTCTCCTGGTATCAGAATTCTAACAGGTCCCTGATTCAACATGAACAAACCCTTGTTCTCCCACCTAAATGTCCTACTCTTTCAGTGTATTTCTTCACTGCATCTCAGGGGACACGCATATCCCATGGCCTAGCAGTGAGCCATCTAAAAACATTACCTATTTTTCAAGCATAAACCAGGCTACAAAAGAGGCCCCTGAAGAATCTGGAGTATGTTCAACTTGCCAGTCAAGAACTACATTCTAGGTGGTGACACATATTAGCATCAACTCAGTTGGACGTGTATTAAAGACTCTCTGCCAAAAATACCCTAGGGAAAACTGGAGTAAAGAACAGATCTTTTAGAACACTTGATATGTTCCAGACGAAAATCTTTTTAGATATACCAAGAGGTATTGAGTCAAAGTGTAACTTCTTAGTGGGGAAGTCATATCTTACTGACTTCCAAAAGGAAAAGACATGAAGGAAACTTAAATGCATATTACTAAGTGAAAGAAGCCAATTTGAAAAGGCTACATATGCATGATTCTAACTTTATGACATTCCATAAAAGGTAAAACTATGGAGACAGTAAAAAGATCAGTGGTTGTCAAGGGTTAGGAAGGAGGCAGCAATCAATAGGCGGAACACAGAGGGTTTTCAGGGCAGTGAAAGCACTCTGTGTGATACTATAGTGGTGGATAAGTGTCATTATACATTTGCCCAAACCCACAGAATGTACAATACCAAGAGTGAATCTTTATGTAAATGATGGCCTCTGGATGATGACGAGTCAATGTAGGCTCATCAACTGTAAAGAATGTACCACTCTGGTGGGGAATGTTGATAATGTGGGAGGACGGGTGAGTGGTGGGGGGCACAGAGGGTAAAGGAGAAATCTCTGTGCCTTCCACTCAGTTTTGCTGTGACACCTAAAATGGCTTTAAAAAAAATAAAGTCTATTTAAAAAAACCATCTGGCGAGCATTCTGCACTCAGCACATTCTGAATCAGTTAAGAGGTCAGAGTTAGGTCAGAAAAAAGCAAAGGGGTGAGATATGGAATGTGAAGACAGGAGTTGAAAAGGGAGCCAAGACTTGTTTCCTTTGAAACTAAGCAGTTTGGGAGCATGAAGCATGAGTGGTTCCATTATTCTAGTGGGTGTATCAAGTAGGGTCACCAATCCCATCAGACTGTCAATACTAAAAGGGCCTTCCTCAAAGAAAATGCCTTAGGATGACGAGATGGCCAGAATGCCATCTGCAGTTGAAATAGGCGCCTTTTACACTCTCTTTAGTCAGTAAGGATTGGCTCCTTATAGGAGACCTTTTAAGTACTAAAACAAGATATATATTTTAGTGCTGTTGTAGACCCTTAAGTACTGTAAGATAAACATTTTAGTACTGGGGAAGAACACGATATATAGTCCAATGCAGTGATATATGGCATTAGTATGCATTCTCTTGATAAAATTCCCCTAAGATTTCCCTGATAATGCATCCTTACACAGCTGCTGTGAGAAATCTCTTAGATTTTTTTTCCACAGATGCTGAAAGAGATGTTTTATCTTTCCCCTGGGGTTGGTAAACTGGGATGACATAATCCTGAACTATCTGTAGCCATGTTTCTACTGTCCCAGCTTGGCAAAATCCAGGCTCAGTGGGAGTAATATTAAAGAAAAAAGTTATTCCTGATACTTGTTACAGAATGTTAAGGCAGGCTTTATTCAGGGGTACTATCAAATAGGTTTGGGAACCACTACAATTGGGTTTTGCAGCAGGGGAGAGAGATTGGGCTCAACTCCAAATATAACAAGGAAAAGTGGGAATTTATAGCCAAGGAGTAGGATAGGGGTCAGTGGATGGAAAATTACTAAGAGGAAACATCACGGCCAGACAGGGATTCTGGCTAAATCAACTTGACAGGATTCTTGCTGAAAGCAGGCCAGGGAGATCAGACATCACCTGGGGGTTGGTGGAAGATGAGGAAATCAAGGAGATCACTGAGGGTGATTAGATACCAAGGATGGGAGATTCTGGCTAAAATGACTTAGTAGAATTCTTGCTAAAATAGGACAATGCAGGGAAGAACATGGAAGCCCAAAAGTCAGGGCTTAGTTGAGGAGAGTTCAGTCCAGAAGAGTTAGGAGAGACTCTGTCAGTGAAAAGGGTCACGAAGAGAATATCAGATCCAAGACTGGAGAGAAATTATATTTTTTGAGTACCTGAACTCGGCCCCATCCCTGGACTTCACAACTTCCTTTTAAATGAACTAATAAATGTATTTTCTTCCCTCACACTTGTGTGAATTGAGTGTCTGTCATTTGCAAATCAAAGACAGCTTATTTATCTGAAGAGGTAATTGATACGATGAATACGTTTGAGGTGATGGAAGAAGATTTAAAGCAGCGAGTTAACAACAAACCAAGAAAGTCTACATTTCCAAGCTAACACATCATCATATAGAATATATAAACTTTCCATATACCATCCCTATTATATCCTCAGGTCTATAGGGCTAAAGAGGATATTATATAAAGGACATAGAAATGTTTGTGAAATTAGGATTCCAGCACCAAACAACTAGGTAATCTTGGGCAATATGGCTGACACTTATTAAATATATTTCATTCCAGGCATTATGCTAAGTGCTTTATATGCATTATTTAAATTTATCCCTATTTCACAGATGAAGAGACTGAGACTCAGAGATATTAAGAAACTACCTTCAAGGACAGATAAAATATCTACTAATTACAGTTTTGGGATCTGAACATAGATTTCTCCACAGCAAAGGAAACCATAAGTAAAACAAAAAGACAACCTACAGAATGGGAGAAAATCTTTGCAAATGAAACCGACAAAGGTTTGATCTCTAGAATATATAAGCAGCTCATACGGCTTAATAAGAAACAACCAAGCAACCCAATCCAAAGATGGGCAAAAGACCTGAACAAGCAATTCTCCAAAGAAGACATACAAATGATCAATAAGCACATGTAAAAATGCTCAATATCACTAATTATCAGAGAAATGCAAATCAAAACTACAATGAGGTATCACCTCATACCAGTAAGAATGGCCATCATTCAAAAATCCACAAATGACAAATGCTGGAGAGGCTGTGGAGAAAAGGGAACCCTCCTACACTGCTGGTGGGAATGCAGTTTGGTGCAGGCACTGTGGAAAACAGTATGGAGATTCCTCAAAAGAGTAGGAATAGACTTACCATATGACCCAGGAATCCCGCTCCTGGGCTTATATCCAGAAGGAACCCTACTTCAGGATGACACCTGCAGCCCAATGTTTATAGCAGCACTATTTACAATAGCCAAGACATGGAAGCAGCCTAAATGTCCATCAATGGATGACTGGATAAAGACATGGTATATTTATACAATGGAATACTACTCAGCCATAAAAACCGACAACATAACGCCATTTGCAGCAACATGGATGCTCCTAGAGAATGTCATTCTAAGTGAAGCCAGAAAGAGAAAGAAAAATACCATATGAGATCGCTCATATGTGGAATCTAAAAAACAAAAACAAAAAAACAAAGCATAAATACAAAACAGAAATAGACTCATAGACATAGAATACAAATTTGTGGTTACCAAGGGGGTGGAGGGTGGGAAGGGATAGACAGGATTTTAAAATTGTAGAATAGATAAACAAGATTATACTGTAAAGCACCAGGAAATATACACAAGATCTTATGGTAGCTCACAGAGGAAACAAAATGTGACAATGAATATATATATGTTCATGTATACCTGAAGGATTGTTCTCTACACTGGAATTTGACACAACACTGTAAAATGATTATAAATCAATAAAAAATGTTAAAAAAAATAAATAAATGAACATAGATCTCTCCACTCCAGAACACATGCACTTAAAAAAAATTTACTGAGAGATAATTCACATATCATACCATACATATCAAATTCATCTATTTAAAGTATACAATTCAATGCTTTTGGTATATTCATAGATAACCATCACTACAGTTTTAGAACATATTCATCATCTTAAAAAGAAACCCTCACCTTTCAGCTATCACCCAGATGGCCTCCCCAATACTGCTCTAAGCAACCACTAATCTACTTTCTATTTCTATACATTTCCCTATTCTATACTTTAATATAAATGGAATCATATGGTATGTAATCTTTTGTGATTGGCTTCTTTCCCTTAGCATTATGTTTTCAAAGTTCATCAATACTTCATCCTTTTTTTAATGACTGAAAAATATTCCATTGTACAGATACACCACATTTTGCTTATCCATTCATCTGCTTATGAATACTTGGGTTCTTTCTGCCTTTTGGCTATTATGAATAAAGCTGCTATAAATATTCGTGTGGAAGTTTCTATGTGGACATGTTTTCATTTCTCTTGAAATGTACCTAAGAGCAGAATTGCTGGGTCATATGGTAACTTTATGTTTAATCATCTGAGGAACTGCCAGACTGTTTTCTAAAGTGGTTGTACCACATTCTACATTATTACCAGTAGCGTTATGAGAGTCCCATATCTTAAAATCTTTGCTGACACCTGTTGTTATCTGACTTTGATTTGAACAATTCTAGTGGGTATGAAGTGGTATCTCACTGTGGTTTTGATCTGCATTTCTCTGATGACTAATGATGCTGAGCATCTTTTCATGTACTTATTGGCTATCTGTATCTTTGAAGAAACATCTATTCAGATACTTTGCCCATTTTAGGATCTGGTTTGTCTTTTTGTGATTACATTGTAAGAGTTCTTTATATATTCTAGATGGAAGCCCTTTTATCAGATATATGATTTATAAATATTTTTCTATTTCACATGTTGCATTTTCACAATCCTGATAGTGTCCTTTGATGCACAAATTTTTAATTTTGGTGAAGTCCAATTTATTTTTTTATTGTCTGTCCCTCCAGTGTCATATCTAATAAATCATTGCCAAGTAAATGGCATTATGATTTCCCCCTATATATTCTTATAAATGAGTTTTACAGTTTTAGCTCCGAGTTAATTTTTGTAGACGGTGTAAGGTAAGGGTTCAACTTCATTCTTTTGCGTGTAGATACTCAGTTGTCCCAGTGCCATTTGTTGAAGAGATTATTCTTCCCCGCTGAATGGTCTTGGTACTTTTGTCAAAAATCAGTTGGCCATAGATTTGGGGGTTTATTCCTAGACTCTTAATTCTGTTTCATTGATGTATATGTCTCTCTTTGTGCCTGCAACACACTGTCTTAATTACTGTTGCTTTGTAGTAAGTTTTGAAATTGGGAAATGTGAGTCCTCCTACTTAATTCTTTTTAGCATTATTCTGGCTATTCAAGGTCCCTTGCAATTCCATGTGCATTTTATTATTTTTTTATTTTTATTTTTTTGGGGGGGCAGAGGTAATTTGGTTTATTTACTTAGTTTTTCATGGAGATACTGGGGATTGACCCCAGGACCTTGTGCATGCTAAGCAGGCACTCTACCACTGAGTTACCCAACACCCACTCCCATCCATGTGTATTTCAGAATCAACTTGTCAATTTTTATAACGAAGTCATCTGGGATTCTGGTAGGTACTGTGTTGAATCTCTAGATCAATCCAGGGAGTACTGTCATCTTGATAGTGTTGTCTTCCAATCCATGAACATGACATTTAAAAGGAAACTTTTTTTCTTAAAATAAAAAAAATAGAAGTATAGTTGATTTACAATGCTGTGTTGGTTTCAGGTGTATAGCAAAATGATTCATAAGAAAATCTTTACTTAGATATTCTTTAATTTCTTTTAATAATTTTTCAGTTTTCAGAGTATACATTTTGCACTTCTTCTGTTAAATTTATTCCTAAGTATTACTCTTATTGATGGTATTAAGAATGGAGGTTTTAAAAATTTCATTTTCAGATTATTCATTCCAAGTGTATAGAAATACAACTGATTTTTGTATATTGAGCTTGTAATCTGCAACCTCACTGAACTCATTTATTAACTCTAATAGTTTTTAAGTACATTCCTTAGAATTTCCTATGTATAAGATCATGTATTCTGTGAATAGATTTATTTTTACTTCTTCCTTTCCAAACTGGATGCCTTTTCTTTCTTTTTCTTGCCTGACAGATCTAGTTAGAACCTCCAATACAATGTTGAATATAAGGAGTGAGAGTGAACATTCTTTTCTTTTTCTGGATCTTAATGGGGAAAGTATTCAGTCTTTTGCCATTAAGTGATGCAGTCGTGGGATTTTTGTAGATGTCCTTTATTAGGCTGGGGAAATTCCCTCCTACTCCTAGTTTGTTTATGACGAAGGGTTGTTCCCTGGTCATTCTTATGTCATGCTAGAAGAGAGCTGGATATCCTGAGCCATGGGATTGTTCTTTTGACCAGCCAGTGGCCTCTCACCTATTCTCCCTGCTACTGGTAGCAGTGTAAGCAAGCTAGGGTGCAGTCAACACTAAAAGAGATTATTCTAGGAATATTGTGATTATGGCCTAAAGAATTCAAGAAAAGACATAGTGGATGGTACATTGTTTTACATTTATATCATCAAATTCCAAAGTGTAAATTTAACAATCTAGAAAACAAAATTACCATTCACATCTGACTACATACTCTGGGTAAGACCTGCATTTGTGCTCATCATTAATGAAACACTGCAGCAACCAATGAAAATCTTCAGAAGCCAGTATTCGCAGGTGACAAGATGGATGATGTGGTGCCTTAATTCATGATGTAACTAGCATTAAATAAATGGCATTAGGAAAACAGAGAGGCAAGAAGGTCTATACTGTTTCAAGACAAATAGGTTCTGAAGAGTCATAATCCTGTGAGTAATAATACTATCATTACCTTTTTCTCAGGTGTGAGATGTGAAATTAGCCAGGAATGATGCATCTGAAATAAAGATAAAAAGATATCACTGTTAGAGAGTACCAAGAATCTTTATGTACACTGATATGACAGTAAGTAAATATGTAAGTACCATTTGTTTTTACCCATTACCCCAAATCTTCATTAACAAAGCATCATACCTTATGTGGGGTGATGAATGTAATAATACAACTTTTAATCAGATTGTTTACATAATCAGGGTCCTTGCAAAAACATTTACTTGGGATCCTGCATATTCTCAATGTGGTTCTGGAAGCAGTACAGTAATACCAAGGGTTAAGAGTATGGGCTCTGGAGTCAGAATACCTAAATTTCACTTAATTAATAGCTATGTGATCTTGGACAGGTTGCTTAATCTCTCTGTGCCTTACTTTCTACATCGGTATACAGTAAACAATGAAAGTACGTTACTTACTTCATGGTGATGTCCTGAAGTTTAAATTACATAATATATACAGTGTTTAGTATCTAGCATTTTGCGTCTTAAAGTGATAGCAATATATAGCACTGTACTTACCTTGTACTGTATTTATTCCCTACTGGTAAGTTTCACAATGGTAAGGACAGAATGAGTTCCTCCTTGTATCCCCTACACGATGAAGTGAACTGTATTTGTGATACAAAAATTGAATTCATCTGGAAACATGGGGTCTATTAAAATATAAATAAAATACTAAAAAACCAATTTAAGTAAAAAGAGCCTCAGCATATCGTTTGCATTTCTTCAATTACTGCTTCATAATGAGCTGCTGAGGGCTTCATAACTTCTAACTTTTTTTGTCCCCCCTCCCCCACTTTCTTCAAAGAATCTAGTTTGGTGTTTAAGTTCACATTACAGCTCTCAGAACTGCTAACTGGATGGCCTGAAGGGTAAGGCTGCTGCAGCAAAAAGTGGGCCACATCAGGGTACAGCTTTGCTCCTGGGGATAGAAGACCAATAATCTCAGAAAACAGGGCACAGAAGAGTTGGGCCAGCCAAGCACGTTGTAAAGGCTGATTTGGACCCTCTGCCGTGGGGCCTCTGCGAGGGGGTCCTGACGGCCGTGGGCCGGGGGGCCTGCGTAGGCAGCTGACCTCAGTAGGAGAGGTAAGGCCCGGCCGAGGCCGCTGCATGAGTCATTCTCACCTCCCCGGGCAGGTGCGGGCGGCAGGACGCTTCAGCAGGACTGGGAGCCGCCGTAGCCCTCGCGGAGCCCCCTCCCGGGCCGCCTCCTCCAGGCGGACACAAGCCTTGCCGAGGGCGGTCAGGCCGCCGCAGTCCCAGCGCCGCAAAGCCCGGTGCTGGTGAGGGGCGCTCACTGGCATCCGGACCC